CTACCTGTCAAAATCACAAGGATATGCAAAATTGGGGACAGTGCCAAGCAGTTCATCTTTTCTATAGTGTTCTGGAAACTTTTGGAGAATCCATGGAACTGTGTTCTCCTTACTAGGACCAGCTACTTCGCAGAAACACTCAAATAATCGAACAACGTCATTCCTGATATAATACAAGGAAGATTAATATGCATACTATTAAATTCATCAATTATTAACATTTACCAGTTATAACACATGTAATTCAATATAAATCAAATGCTGTTATGCAAAAAAATTATTATATACGTACTATATTATGCTACAATAATTAATGTACACTTTACAATATAACAATTGTTTTAAAATATTAAACCACTAGAGAGGCAAAGAAGACTAATAAAATATGTATTATATCAATGACATAACAATTAATTCAATGGAATTGTAACTGCTCACCTTATCCGTGACCCCATTCCATCAAAGCTGTTATGAATCGACAAACAAACATAAATATTACTGTACAAGTAAATGAAAATTTAACGTTTAGGAAGACATTAATTAGACAAACGTCTTCAACGACCTACAGTTAAAAGAATTAACAACTACATTGGTTTCAAAATTGACCGATTTTTTTAATGTTAGATAAGCTGTTAGCTGATGAGTAATGAATATTCACTATTGAGTTAAGGAAATCAAAAACCCAAAAGTTTCATTTCAAACCAGCGATAACACATCTATCAAATATTCTAATCTAATCCATCCCCCACTGTGTCATTCACATAGATAATGTATTATTATTATGTGTGGACACACAACGCTGATTCATGTTTTTACTTTTTAGTGTTCTTCTGATAATAATGATAACACAATCTTAATAAAAGTACGCAAAAAACAAAACATTCCAGTAATAAATATAAGTTATTCGAAAGTTCGAAATATAGAAGTGGCCACATTGTTGATAGCTTAGTACCGCCTGTTAAACCGTGTTAACAAATTAATTTCAACGATTTACTATTGCATTGGCAAGTTGAAAGTTCAAAGTTGCTTGGCTATCAGCATTCGTTTTCGTTTACAGAAGATTATGTAGTAGGTGCTATTAGTAGGTCCTTATTGGTGTACAACGACGTTGGATATTTTACTAGTGGTTGGTGCCTATTCATGGGTATAACAATGTATGATCATAATGTTATATATTTTTATTAAGTAATTTTTTTTTGTCCAAATTTAGATTGTTGTACCTGTTATTAAACTTATTTGTTTTTATCCAGCCTGGGTCATGTCTAAAGACGGCCGTCACAATTACGATCGTGATACAAGTAGTGACACAGAAGATTACCAAGATACCGAGGATCATAGGCGCCGTGTGTTCAAAACAAGACTAAGGTATATTTGTCAAACTATTTATTATAACCATTTGTATAATGATAAAGGTTCTACCAGAAGTAAGTTGTAACTTGATTGTGAGCTATTGTTTAGCATAATACCTGTTCTTTACCATCAATGTGTACTTTATGATAAATGTTCTTTGACAATGACGTATGAACTAAGGTCTAGTATAAAATAGGTTTTTTAAGTAAGGAAGTCACATAGTTTACTATGTGGAATTTTATAATAAGACAGTTATATTTTAAATTATAATACCTAGGTATTATTTCTTTTAGTAATTTTAGTTTTTAATTTTTTAATTGCAGTTATGGAAGTTCCTTAAAACCCAAATCGTGTTTGGTACAGCGTCATTCAACTGGTAACCAGTTGACTCTGACACCAATCAATAAACAACAAACAACTTTAATGAGAAATAGGTAAATAAATTCTATTGGTTTAAATGGTAATTTATTGAATTCAGATTTATTGTAATTAATTTATCAATGGTTACGGTTGGTAGTAAAACAGTAGAAAAGATTTCAAATTAACAATAAAATGAATGATTTATTTTCAATTTTAAACTAATTAAATGTATTTGTATACATAACTTATGACATCAGAATTAAGATTGTTCAAGTAAAACCTGAAAAACTGAAACCAACACAGCTAGTTCAGGATTGTTAGACTATGATTCTAGCTTTTTTTCTCTTTATTTTAAGCTACTAGTATAAACTATGACAACTTGACATTTACAATGTAAGGTATAATAATTAATAATTGATTTAAAATTTAATTACTGGTGACTTATTATCATTTTTGTTTTTGGTGCCTTTACCGGTATTTGTTACAACTAGTATCTAAAACTTAATTTAATAGAATCTTAAAACTTCTTTATCGATCCTAAAAGTATCCTTTGTATTACAAAAATAACTATTTATTATTCTTTAATGATTTTATATAACATATTTTATGTGTACATTATTTATAATAGAAAAGCTATGCCCAGATTTACTTGCTCAATGAATTCTATGAAAAGTCTGATGAATCAAAACGCAACTACTTCAGGTTCGTCCTATCCAAGTACTTCAGGTTCAAGCCATTTATCTAGCTCTAGAAACAATATTGCTAATAAAGAAGAAAGAGTAACTCTTATTGTAGATAATACTAGATTTATTGTTGATCCTGCTATATTCATTGCCCATTCAAATACAATGCTTGGAAGGTAATAAAAAATAAATTTGTGTTCTAAAATAGAAGTTTTTACTATTTATTATTTTTGACAGAATGTTTAGTTCTAACGAATACACAAATAAGAATGAACGTGGAGAATATGTGGTTGCAGAAGGTGTCTCGGCAAATGTATTCAGGTGTATTTTGGAGTATTATAAGGGTAATGTAATGCGCTGCCCGTCTTCAATTTCAGTACAAGAGCTACGAGAAGCTTGTGATTATTTGTTAATACCATTTGACGCTAAGACAGTCAAATGTCAAAATTTACGTAAGTGACTAATGTATTTTAGATAATTGTATAAATTCAAATATTTTTACTGTAGGAGGATTATTACATGAGCTGTCAAATGAAGGAGCTCGTTGTCAGTTTGAAGTATTTTTAGAAGATCTAATATTACCTTTAATGGTTAATTCTGCTCAACGAGGAGATCGTGAATGCCATGTGGTTGTCTTACTTGATGATGATATAGTAGATTGGGATGAAGAATATCCGCCTCAAATGGGAGAAGAATATTCACAAAGTAAAAAACCAATAAATTAAATTAATATAGAAAACATTTCAAACTTAAATTATTTCATTCTAACTTCATGTTCTTTGGAGTCATAACAGGCTAATAAGTAATAACAAGGCATGTTCGAATTAAATTTGTTATTCATAATTATATTTATAAATCAATATAATACTCTGAACTGTATATCTGTACTATAGATTTAGTATTAACCTTAATCAGTTTTAAGATTTTGAGCAAAGTGTGATGAATGTTATGATTATGATATTTGTTTGTATCTATATTCTATATATGTTTTATAGTAGAAATATGCTTTGATTTTCAACGCCCATATCATTTCTGGTAGAAAATAAACTAGTAAAACTAGTTAATTCCTTGTGAAGTTATATATTAGGATACTCATGAAATAACAGTTTTCAACAAAATCAAATTGTTTTTTTTGCTGTAACTAAAAATCAATTAACTATAGACTTGACATTTTCACCAAATATTCATACAACTATGCAAGCATTTATTAGACACAAAATATTTTGATTCTTGATGCTATTAATGTTTATATATAATTTAATTGTTTGATTTTATTTTTGGGTAAAAAGGTTGAAATTTTGATGCAAAGTTCATCATAAGATGATCATAGATAAATTAAAAAATACATATTTACAGTATTTTTTTGTATTTTGATTTAAATTTTTACAAAATTCATCAAAATAGCCAAAATGTATACATTTTTTGAATTTTTTTTTAGTATTGATAAAGATGTTGAGGCTGGGTCACAAAGTAAGGTTTGGTAACCTTATTTAGTTCCGTTATAATTCAAAAATATTATTGAGGACTTAAAATATTAACTATCATTATAATATTTTACTTTACATACGCAATGGAGCTTTTAAAATATTTAAATGCCTATTGCTTAGTTTTAAATCTATTGTATAATTACCATATTAATAGTATAATAAATCACTATAGTAGCTACATATATATGGTACAATTTACTTAGTAATATGGTCTAACAGAAACTCCACTCAGAATTGTTTTTGTATACAATCATTTATTGTTGAAATCAAATTAACAGACCCATTACAGTGGTCAGTGACCTACTCAATGACAAGGTACACTCGACTCCTAATATGCAGGCCAACTGTTACCTAATTACTTACTTTTTATTATAATATTTAAATTTATCAATTTTTATTTCAGCTGTAAACAGCACTGCCTTATATAGATTCTTCAAATACATTGAAAATAGAGATGTTGCCAAACAAGTAATGAAAGAGCGTGGTCTTAAAAAAATTCGTCTAGGCATTGAAGGTTACCCAACTTATAAAGAAAAAGTAAAAAAAAGAGCTGGAGGTCGAAAAGATGTGATTTATAATTATGTTCAAAGACCTTTTATCCATATGTCATGGGAAAAAGAAGAAGCTAAGAGTCGTCACGTAGATTTCCAAGTAAATTTTAGACTCATCAATAAACTTATGTAACTTTTTACCAAATTAGAAAATAATTTAATATCTTATTATATTTATATATACATATTTTATTTCAATATTCACTTAATAAAATATTAAAATATTGAGGTCTAAAACTATTATTTATAATTATTAATTGCTAACTAGTTATTTTTATTTAAAGTATATAAATTTGTGTTATTTAGTGCTTAAAGTCAAAGTCAGTGACTAATTTAGCAGAAGCAACTGCTGATCCTGTTTTGGAATTGGACGCTAGAGGTAATCCTATGGGTGCTGTAGCCATAGATCCAGACATTCGAGTGGTATATGACGGTCATGATCAAGATGATGGAGCTGTAGACTCTCCTCCTCCTCCCACAGTTTCAGAAGCTGAACAAAATGAAGAGTCTCAACCCAATGAACAGTAATATACAATGGAATTTATATTTAGGTACCATGTTTTTTTTTATTGTTACTGAACAATCAAGTGGTGATCTTCTCTATATTTTTTTTCAACAAGCATTTTACTATTATTATTATTAATAAATGCATCTTTTTCTAATGTCATATATAATTATAATCAATTTATTATCATTTGTATTCTTATAAATAAAGATTATTCAAATATTCTGGTGTTACTTTTGTATTTGATATAACTAAAAATATTTACTAATAAATTTGCCTAAGATGACTGATGGAGCAACTTGTTGAATGCATTGTAAGATGATTCTAGATCAAAAATCAACTGTCTCACTTGGGTTTCATTTAATTCATCTGATGCGTTCATAGATGATAGAGAACTTAGCCAGTCAGATACTTTTTGTTTTCCTTCAAAATCAGCTGGTAACATACTAAGCCTGTTCATGGTATCCATTAAATCCCGAAGGTCAGGTTGAAGTTCATCCATTGCTTTAATATCCAATCTATAAATTTTTAAATGTGTTAATTATTTATTTATACATTGCACATTAAAATAATAGAACACTAGTTATAGGTTGTCAATATAAACTTATACAATTATTTGATTGATGGATTGTCACAGGCAGGCACTATTAGAAATTTCAATTGAAATAATGAGAAACATTTTGCTTAAAGCAAATACATACATACATATGTACATAACAATTTTAAATTGTATGAGACAAGGAGTTACTACATTACTATGTATAAAATTAACCAAGAATTAATCTAATCAGTATTAAATAAGTAAAAATTAAGGTAATTTTAGTTTCATGAATCGCATTCAACAATCAAGCCAAAAAAATTATTAAAGTAATACTATCAATACGGAATATACTATGCTCCCAAAAGCATGAGCTGAGATTATTAGTAAGGTGTCCTATACATTTTTATATAAGTACTAACATTTAAACTTCAGTTCTTTTCGAACTATTCTGAAGGGGCAAATTGGCTACATTATTTTTAACCAATATAAAAATTAAGTGCAGAGAAGTTCAATAACAACAAACCCTAACTGAACCAAGTGAACTAATAAGTTGAATTTAGATAGAACCCATTGAGATTTAAGATATTAAAAAAACAAGGAAAAAAGTTATTCCCAAATTAAACTATTTTATTATTTTCAATTCAAAAACCAATACCTCATTGAAATATATTCGATACTTTCTAAATGTAATACCTACGATCTACCTAATTTAAATAAATTACTTAACAACAAACAAAACATTTAAATATTAACTAATGTTATTATATTTTGATACAAACCTAAGCTTATCCATTATGGTTATAAATAAAGACACAATATCTGCAATGCATTTACTGGTATTGCCTTTATCGTCTTTAATAGTAATCGGCCGATCTTCTTTAATACGCTCTATTGCTGCTGGACAGTCTAATTTGTATTTTTTAACGAAGGACTCAACCGATGGAAAATCGTCACCCTGTATTTGTTTAAAAGAAGCTTTGCACTGAACAAGCAGTTTTGAGCAGGCGGCAGTATACTCTTTGGGCGTTACACAGTCACGTATGTATGCTTTTTCCAAATGCTGCAGTGTGTTGACTAGTGCATAGAAGTCAGCCATATTATCATACTTTTCCCGTTCACGGGCGTTGCGAAAAAGTCTTACTTCCTCTAGTAGTTCGGGACGATTAGCATCTTGGGAATCCATCATTTTTCTTTTCTACTAAATATACCTGTTTTTCCAAAAAATTGTATTCGAGTGTAGAAAATACAAAGTAAATAAATACCGATATTATTAGATCCCTACTATTATTAATTATGATGTAATGTGAAAATATGAATTGTTGTATTAATATGGTTATGGATACATACGGACAGTTGAAAAATAATATTATTTAATTTGTAAATTATTCGAAAAAAAGAAGACTTAAAAATTATCAAGATCACAACAAATACTATAGTATCACCACAGAACAATAGTATCACGATTAAAAATAAAATAAAATAATATTATCAAAACTACAATCCAAGGTGTAATCACAGAATAGATTTCATCTCTATATGTTGTTGTAATTGACTCGAACTGGTTGGTGGCGTTGGGGGGGGGGGGGAATTAGAAACAAAATGGTATGTCCCTTCCTTCACTACTCCTAAAAATGGAACCTAGTGATTTCAACCCCATCTAAAAGTATTATTTTAAAAATATTATAATTTTTAAATAATAATTTATCAATTATTAATGTATTGATAATACATATTACTTAATATTACCTAATTATTATGTTTCCTATATTAAAAATGTAAATATTAAAATTAAATTTGATACAATTAACCATGACAAAATAGATCTTTTTTGTCATGCAATTAACTTTAATAATTATTTTATCGTTTATGTACATATAGATGGCGTTAAAATCAGTCGATTTTTGTAACCCCCTGCGCGATCTAAGCCATGTTTTAATCCTACGTACTTTAAAAGCTTCAAGTATTGATACCCGCGATTAGGACTGATTCTTGTTTTGGGGTCCAACTTACCGTATGTAGTTATCAAATAATTTGATTTGATTATTATATGCAGGCAATTTAGATAATTAAATAGAGAAGGTAATTTTAAACTGAATTTATTTGAAGTTAATTCAAATCTTTATTTAATTTAAAATTATTAAAATATGACATTTTAAATATTACGATTGAAATGTGTTTATTTTCAAAATCTCTGAAAATTAATTAATTCTATCTCTAGTTCATTTTAGTAAAATCCTTGCATTTTGTTGTTGAATCATTAATATTTTGCATATAAGTTTTATGACTTAGAACCAAGATAAACTGTGAGCAAAGTAGAGGAAAAATGAGTAAAGCCATAAAAAAAATGTCAACATCTAATAAAAACGTAATTCTCTAATATAACAAATATTGATATGTTATTATTAAAAAATATATATATATATAGTAACAGATATTAGCCATGAGAATATATACATTAACATACTGAGTATCCTACCAAAAAAAAAATGTCAGATCAATATTCAATTTTAAAAACCGAATTTATTGTTTAAAATTATAAGTAATTAGCTGATCCCGTGCACTTCGTTGTCCTTTGAAAATGCCAAATCTAAATATGAGACTTGCTTGTTATAATGCGAGCAGTATATTATTAGATTTATCATAGGATATTATATTATATTATTATATTATTGTACCTCACGCTGGTATATGGGTACTCTATATAAATAAAATTTTTTATTTCGACTGTGGATACGCCGATGAGGGGCTATATAGGCAGAAGTGCAACTCATCCATATTAGTAGGCAATGTGTGAACATTCGATTTATTATTAGTAATTTTTTACCAATAACTAATATAACACATTCCCTTGGTTATTTAGATAAAATTAATTGTTTTTTTTTTGGCTAAACTAAATAATTATAATAATTGTTTATTATTCGACGTTGATACCGACCTCTCTGGGAGCATCGTGGTTGAGTTTGATTTTTATTTATTTTCAACCAGCGACTATTTCTTACTAAAAAAGGTGTAGGTATACAATTTACACGTTTTTTAAATTTATAATAACTAATTATTTATTAACTTTATCGGACTAAATTTATGCCTAAAACCTTCTCTGTCGTGATGTCCTCTTTAATTTAAAAAAAAATGCACGATTTAATAAGGAGTTTGGGAGTTTATCCCGAACAAAATAAGGAGACTTCATTTTAAATAGTAGTATAGATATAGTCATATAGATAGATAATTAAGAAAACTTTTATTGTTCGTTATAATTGTGATGTTGATTAGGAGCTAATTTGTCTGTTGGGGGGCTAACATTTTATTAGGTAATATCTTTATGTATCAACACATCTATACCTATATTCTGTTCAATCAATCCCAACATCTGCAAATAATACGTGAACCGGACACCTAAACCTTTTTCTGTCGTCCTGTGCATAAGCTAAACATTTTTTGTGGGTAATGATTGTATTGTATAACATCGTACTATCAGTAAACAAGATGGCTGTATATTTAAAATGGTAAATTGTTTAGGAGAGAGTTTTTAATATTTAATATCTTATTACAGTAATGAGTCAAATATATATAAGTATAATAAATTGTGTTATAAAATTTCTTGTAAGTTTGATGATATCCTGTTTAAAAACTTAAACTTACCAGAAATTGTATTTATTTATAAAAACAATAAATATTTTGTGACATGGCCTTATTGAATTGATAATATTATAAACTAAGCCCTAAAAATTTATAATATACTAGTTTATCTCGTGCACTTCGTTGCCCGTTAAAAATACCAACTCTATATTATAGGAAACTGGCTTGTGATAATGTAAGCAATATATACTATCAGGTAGCAATCCACGCGGTGGATTGCGGACCCCGCTTGATGCTTACTCTTTATTAATTACATGTTTTATTATTATTTTGATTGCGGACACGCCGATTAGCGGCTGAAGTGCAACTCAGCCGTCCTGTTAGGAAATGTGGGATATTTCAATAAATTTGATGCATGCTTATTGGTACCTGATCTGCCCGAATAACCACTTTCAACCAATAAACAAAAAAAAAAAATACCAATTTCTACTAAATATATTTTATTTATTTCTCCTGTAACCAATATAGCAGAGGTGGGCTGGGCAACCGCGGAGGCCAGCGAGCCTTTTTTATTTGGCCCGAGCTACATTTTCAAATTACATTATACCTAGACAAAATAAATGCTAATTAAAATGTATATTTTTAATGACCGCCTTTTTTTAGTGTTTTGCTTTTTATGCTCCCGCCCGCTAGATTTTAATTTTCTAAAAATTGGCCCTCTAGTAACTTTGAGTAGCCCACATCTCTGTAATATAGCATATTTAAAATTTAAATTGAACTTGTAAATTCCCAAAGTTAAAAATTTTTAATTTAAATTTAAAAAAAATCGTAAAAGAATTTTATGAGGATGTGTTTAATTATGACTGACGGAAATATTTTATTTTTTAAATTGTGTGAAATCAAAATAAATTCGATTGAAGAATATAACGATCAACATTATATTGGCAGAAAAAAACATGAAGAAGCATTGAAAAAAAGTGAAGCTGTCATTATTGATCTATGGTTAGTATTGTGGAACGAACCGAGGGGGTGTTAATATTAAATTATGGATGGATGTTTAAATGTTTTAATACTTTTAACTCCCAAATGTATACTTTGACATCGGTGACCATCATGCAGTGACAGTATAATGATTTTGTCATGGATGTAGGTGTGATGTGTCTGAATTCTTAACATACACTATTCAATCATTAAAAATATAATTTATGGTTACCGTTTTATAACAATATCTGAATTATTATAAGTATTGGAAAAAGGTAATGGAGGGTACCCATCACCCCCTCTCCCCACCAACTTATTTTACATATGTGATTGAGACGAGGTAGCGAGAATACCAAATACATCATATCATATAAATATTATATACACCTATATAATATTAATGTATCATTAATTATTATATGTAAATGAATAGTATAGTATTAAAATAGTTACACAATAATATTATAACTAAAACGACATTTTATCAACACGTCATTACGTCAAAGCTAAACGGTTCAATGTTATGTAAAATACATAATATTTATTTTATTATCAGTTAGAAATCCAATACACACATATTATATTTATATACATGCTATGTAGTTCGTCTTTATACCACCGTCGCTACTTATCGATTATACTCTCTCACGCTGTCGAGTGGTTAGTTATGACTTATGATATTTTTACCTATATGTCGAACGATAATTTAAAACGATTAGCAAGTTCTTTTAAAGTCTGATGTAGACAATTTCTTGCAAGAAATCGTATATATTTATAAAAAAATGTACAGGGCGAAATCGTACCCGTGCACCGCGGTTTGTTTGCGATAGGCATAAGGCGATTTAAAAATATGTATCACGAAAGCGTACAGGAATGTGGCGCCAAATGTCGTACACCATTAGCACCATTAGCGCAGTACCAACCGCGAGTGTTGAGGAAAAATCCCACGATAATCGTTTACATTATAACTGACGATCTTCAGGTACATAATATAACATGGACAATTTAATATCAATTGTTTATCTATATTCGGTATGACTATAATATCCAATATTTTTAATGGGTGTAATTGTATTGGCATATTTAAAATTATTACGGGACGGAATTAATTGTTTAAGATTATGACAGCGACTGATCGACGGTTCGGCAAGGGGACTATTATAATTCATAATACAATCGCTCCTCAAAACATTAGTATGGTACATTACTATATTGTTTTTAAAATATTTAATTATCTTCCAAATTGTGCATGTTGTTTGTGAAGTCGTATAGGCATATATATAATTACGTCAAATCCGAAATTGAGTGTATAAGATATAGTAAATATAATATTTTATTTATATTTGAGATCAGAACATGGAACTTCTCTTTACGTCTATACCTTTTAACGAAATATTTTTATTTTAAACAAATAACTAGGAGAAAAGTAATATAAATAATGTTATTGGAAGAGTGGAAACTGGAAATAGAAAAAAGGAGTACAAGTATACATTACAGAATTCGAATTTTACCAGTAGTTGTCCGTCGAATCGGAAAGCGTTCGTATATCACGAAACGGTATTTGTCGATGGGTGGGAGAAGAGTGGTGCGTCAGTTGGCGGCACTGCAGTCATCAGGAGCAGGAAGGTGTTTTTTGTTTTTTTTGTTTTTTTTTTTTTATGTTCCAATATCGCCAATCGCTACTCGCAAGTGTCGAGCATGAAACGATAAGTGCGAAATCCGTACCGCTCGCATTTTGGTGTGTTCGTACACCGTGTTTACTACCGCCGTTTGGACGTTCGCCGTCGCGTACACGTCGCCGTGACCGTTCGTCCGCTAGTGGATATCGCCGCCATCGTCCATTGAACCGCGCTCTCGCCCGACCCGTACCGCCACCGATATAAACGGGCCCCCCCCCGACCGAATGTGTTGGACGTGTTGAGAGCTGTATGGGATTACCTAGTTTGTGTCACACAC